TATTATTGTTTTATTTATTTATTGTAAATTTGTTTTTATTTTTGGTATTTGGATTTTATTTAATGAATTTTTGTCTGGTTATTTAAATGTATTTTATTTACAATAATTAAAGTATGGCTATATATATATATATATATATATATATATATATATATATATATATATATATATATATATATATATATGTGTGTGTGTGTGTGTGTGTGTGTGTGTGTGTGTGTGTGTGTGTGTGTGTGTGTGTGTGTGTGTGTGTGGTGTTATTTTTGATTAATTTAGTTTTAGTATTGAGTTTTTATTTAAATTTTTTGTTTGGTTATTTATTTATATTATACTTTAGTTATTAGTTATTGTGATTTTTGTTCTGTTTCTATCATGACATTATTTTATTTTGTTTGCAATTGTGTACTTGCTGTTGTTTCACATGTAATGCTTTTTTATCTTTATTTAATATTTAGTTTGAATAAATAATAAGTGGTTTTTCCCATTTGTATGGTGTTTTTATTTTATTTATAGTGTATTTTTGTGTATTTGTTTCTGTTATGTTGTTTTATTATTTAAAACAATATTTTTGCATTTGTTATTGTTGTGGTGTTTGTTGTTTCTGCAATGTTTTTCTTTATTTATGTTTTGTTTTGTATATTTGTTGTCATTTCTAATGAATGAGTGTGATCAAAATAAATCAACGTGATTCTCTGTAATCCAAACATATGCTGTGGAGGTTTACTGTGCTGACATTGCACATTTCAAACCTGCACCAATGCAAATTTTGACACAAAACAGTGGGAAATCCTGTGTGTGTGTCTGTGTGTGTGTCTGCGAGCTGTTCTTTTCTTAGACAGGTGTAACAGGAGCTGAACCTGTGAGACTGCATGGCTTTACACAACATCATGCATTATTTATATTCATATAGCTATCAATGGCAACACCAAACTCGGTCTCAGCAGTGATGCAACCCCACAAAACCCAATGAAGACTCACAGAAACCCCTTCCAGAGACACATATCTAGATTTTAACACGTGCCTCTTGGCTAATTATGTAGTGATGGCTTCCAATAATGTGCTTTCTGTAATTCAATTTCATGCATGAACCATTAAATCAATTAGGCTCCTTTTTTATTAGCGCTCCAGAGACAAAGTTTAACTCAAGATGGATTTTACATTAATGAAAAACTGCTGAGAGTTAACTGTGACTCTGCCAAAAAACTTTACTTTTTGTCTAGAGAATTAAAGGGTATTTTGAAAACTGAACAAGTAATTAATTTCTCAAAAGACGATAACCATGACTATAACATTTCAAAATCATGCTATTTTTTTCTTTTCTTTTTTTCTGTTATTCTGACATCCTCCCAACTAATGATTATTAAATAAAATAGTAATGAATGATATCTCTGACCCTGATTTTCAATACACAAAAACCGCAATAATTTGTTTCTAATGAATATCAGATTGACTCTTGATAATTATATCAACCCAATTATGCTTATTTTTTAAATAAAAGCTCATTTCATCAATGCATCTATGACCTACATCATTTGTGAAGTATGCTGGCCTATATCTGCTAATGCATCTGCAATTAACCGTACATTATGACAATGAATAAACTCCATGAAGAAGCACCAGTAGAGGCTCAAATGCATTTATTTAATAGGCTGTCCCATTGCTTTGAGGATATGTAGGGTAATTATATCATTTGCAGAGTCCAAATGTTATTTTATTTGTATCGTGTGTTACCATTACTGTCTTGTTTTATAAAGGTTTCTAAGACGTTTAATAGCAACTACTTGGGACACTGTAAATAGCGATTAGTTTGCTTTAAAAAAAAGTGAGTAAACCCATTATTATGTGCACTGCTTGTAAGTATGAAATTTCAAATTTTTGTTTGACTTTATCTGTGATCATCTGTCTGCCTTTAAAAAATAAATACGTATATCACTTCAATATATATTATCTAATAAGGAAACCGACTAAATATATACTCAGCGGCCACTTTATTAGGTACATGTGCTTGATCTTCTAACGGCTCCTTCCAGCAGGATACAGTGCCATGTCATAAAGCACAAATCATCTCAGACTGGTTTCTTGAACATTACAAAGAGTTCACTGCGCTCAAATGGCCTCCACAATCACCAGTTCTCAATCCAATAAAGCGCTTTTGGGATGTGGTGGAACGGGAGATCCACATCATGGATGTGCAGCTGACAAATCTGCAGTAACTGTGGGATGCTATCATGTCAATATGGAGCAAAATCTCCAAAATTTCTAGTACCTTGTTGAATCTATGCAGGCTTAAGGCAGTTCTGAAGGCAAACGTGGGTCCAACCTTGTACTAGTAAAGTGTACCTAATAAAGTAACCGGTGAGTGTACATCCTAATTAACTTCACTGACTGTTAATTAGTCTGATAATCAGTCTAGGACAATAAAGTCTTGTTGATATAAAGAGTCTGCCTCATAACTGTGCTTAAACTTCTCCTGCTCCTGCATCATTTGGTCTTGTTTTGCAGTGGCAGGTCTGAAAGGAGGCCTGCGAATGTGTACAGTAATAAGGAGCTGCTGGTTTGTGGCACGTCTGCTGTAGGAAGTGGCATCTCTGCCAGCATTATTAACACTCAACACTCGCGCTGCAGGGAATGTGTGGCTCCCCTTCAAGTGCCAATGGAAAACGTGCCAACTATTGTAAGATTCCAGAGGGAGCCTAATGTGGAGATGCTGAAAGTACACTTATGAGGAGCACAGGTAAATGGAATAGCAATTTTAACACTGTACTTTTCAAAATAAAGGTTCTATATTGGGATTGATGGTTCAACAAAGGCTGTTTTTGCAGCATGGTTGGTCATTAAAGAAGCATTTTTGGTTCCCAGAAAAACATTTTAGATTATTAAACTTCTCAAAATAACCCTTTTAAATTAAAAACATTTGAAGAACATTCATTCATTCATTTTTATTCGGCTTAGTCTCTTTATTTATCAGGGGTCAACACAGCCAACCGCCAAATTATCTAGCATACTTTATGTTTCACGCACCCATACACTCTCACAATCACACACATACACTACAAACAATTTATTTTATTCAATTCTTTGGACTGTTGGGGAAACCGGAGCACCCGGAGGAAACCCACACCAACACAAGGAGAACATGCAAACTCCACACAGAAATGCCAACTGGCCCTGCTGGGACTCGAACCAGTGACCTTCTTGCTGTGAGGTGTAAGTGCTAACCATTGAACCACTATCTCACCATTTGAACATTTTTTTGAACTATAACTAATATTTTAAGGTTCTTCGTGGAACCATCAATAAAAGAACCATTAATGGAGAAATGGCATGAAATGCTTCATGGTGAACTTTTAAAATTCATATAGAATCTTCTTGATGACAAACAAGAACTATTCTGGATTCACAAATTATCTTCAAGTGAACTCAAACCTTAGCATCACATTTTAAACTGTTAGTCCAGAGGGCAATTACTAACAATTCACTCAGTTCGAGGATTATAACACTTCAAATTGCAGATTGTTTACGTCAGAGGTCACAAACTCAATTCCTGGAGTGCCACAGCTCTGCATAGTTTATAGCTCTATCCACCTCCAACTCACACCAGCTTAATGGATCCTTTTCCCAACCCTGTTATGATGGGTTTACGGTCGTTAGTATTTTAAATCCTTGAAAGTTTTTAATATTTTGATTTTTTTTAAATGTATGAACATTTATATGTATTTTTTCATCTTTGCTTTAAATTACAAAGAACAAATTACTACTTGTGCGAGGCATTTATAATGCAGCGTCTATGGGACAGGACAGTTAATTTGTTGTTGTTCTCTCCTCTGTCTGCTGATATCAGTCTCACAAAAAAATTTCCTGTTTCTGAATGTGTTTATAACATCATCATGGAGTTTTTCTTTTATTATTTGAGCAAAGAAAAAAAATTTAAATTATTTGTTGTACTCTTCCATTCACTGTGCTCTAAGTTTTCCCAACTATGACGACTTCCACTACTGAGAAACCCGGAATTGTGAAAAGGGTCTACAGTCTCTAGTCTTGAACACCTTGATTAGTTGGATCAGCTGTGTTCGATTAAGTTCGGAGCACAACTATGCAAAGCTGTGGCAATCCAGCAACCAAGTTTGAGGCCTATAGTTTACGTAATGACACTGTTGTGGTTGTTTAATTTCCATGTAAAATGAAGGTTACTGTTATTTGAGTATTATAATCAGAAACAACCTTTAATTTTGATGCATTTGAAGCATTGTGAATTAAACAAAAGCCTAAAAACAATGAAAATATGATTTTGGTTGTTATGGCACTGTGATTAAATATTGGGAGCTTGGTAACACTTTATTTTGATGATCCTTTTGAGTATTAGTAGACTGTCTGCTTAATATGTTAATACTGCTCCTTCAACAGACTATAAGAAACTTTGCAAATACATGTCAACTTACACCAACCCTAACCTCAACTATAACCTAACAGTCTACTTATAATCTAATGAGAATTAGTTGGCATGTAGATGCATCGTAACTTAAATTTAACAAACAAACCATCAAAATAAAGTGTGACCTGGAGTTTTAATGGGGACATTTTTGTCATTAAGGTCCTGAGTGTATCTTTTTTTATTGTACCGAGTGTAAATTAAATTAAATTAGGGTGAAATAATAACATGTCAATTAAAATGCAAATGTTTGGCACACATTTGCACAAATACAGCCAAGATTTGAGCAAATAAAAAAAGATTAACAACGTGAATTTTCCAGAAGGACGCATGACTAAAAGAGCAATTGTTTATAAAATGTGAGCACGGCTAAGTACTTTAAAGGTTTTTCTCAGAACTATCAATGCCAGAAAAACTTATTTTTAAGAACGTATCTATTTTACACAATGTTCTTTAGTGAAATTTGTTCTTAGTATTTTTATATATTCTTTGCATGAAGAAAGAATGATTCTTAATAACCTCACTGAATGGTTTTTTTAACTGGCATAACAGAAAATATGTGACGTTAAAATATGTTTTACTGTTTTATTGGTGTTCACAGAAACAAACCACATCGTTTTAAAAAATAATGCATTTTGTTTACACATATTTAACATATACATCTCTGTACATCAGGAAAATTGTTTCTTTTGCACAGCAAAGATAAAACGTTTATGTTTGTAAGAACATGTATAGGAAAACCATGTTGCACATAAATAATAGCATAATACTTGTCTGAATTCCACCACAGTGCAAAAGAAAAAAAGTCAAATGAAACATCCTGAAAGGAAAGTAGTTTTGTAACTTACTGTTGAGTTAGTTTAGACACTTCTTCTTTCCAAAGAATGAAAGAGAAATAGAAAGAACGAACGAGTTACATATCTCAGGACATTAAAGCATAAGGAACAAAAGAAAAGCATTTCCGTGAGGGAAACTTATTAGGTAAACAAGATCTCTCCTAAAAACCTCTTACAGCACAGAGAGGTTAAGCAGAGACTTTAAGCGTCTTATTGCGCAGAGTGCTTCCATCCAGACCCCTAATGAGGGATTATTGTGCGAGTGTCTGTTAAATCCACAAACACATCCATGGCTTCTGTCTCAAAAACCTAGCGAGCTGTCTATCTAGACAGCATTTTATGTATAAAATGTTTGCATGTCATGTAACAACAATCAGTAAAGCCACAGAAAATAGTTACAAAAGTGCATTTGTAACTTTGGCACAACTGATTTTACTTAAGGCTGCAATCTTTTTTGTTGGTGTTGTTGTTGTTTTCTAGATAGGCAGCTCACTAGGTTTTCACATTTGTGAACCCTATAACAGCACGCTTTCAAGTCAAGTGGATGAAATGGCACATTCATGCACCCAAAAACTCTCACACTGCAAAAAAAATGATTGTCTTATAGAGGTTTTTACTTGTTTCTACAGCAAATATCTAAACCTTTTTAAATCAAGAAGCACTTTCTAGACAAGTAAAACATGTTGCTTCTTAAAATTACATTTATGTTGTGATTAATTTACTTGTTTTAGGGGAAAATTTACTTGATTTTGACTTGTTTTGTTTTCTGAAAACACAACTATATTTGTACTGGTCTAGAAAATGCTTCTTGATATAAATATATTTAGATTTTGTACTTTAAGCAAGACAAAACCTCAAAGAAAGACAATATTTTCTTTTGCAGTGCATCATCATCATCATCATTACCATGAAGCATTGCTGAGACAGTCTAAAAGATTCACTCAATGTCAGGCAACTTCTTGCATTTTCCCCTCCGCGATGCCATTGGGCACGGAAACAGTCTCCTGGTTGTTGCTCTCTATGGAGGACTCGCTCCCGGTGCTTTCCCCAGACAGCAGGCGAGTCACTCTCAGGTCGGCTTTCAGCGTCTGCACGTCGTTCCCTATACACATGGAGCCTAAATCGTTTATAATCTGGCACAGTTCTTGCTTGCCATTTCCCACACAGTCGCTATCAGTGTCCAGAATATCCTCGCACTCAAAATGCATGGCTTTCTCCTCTTCCTCCTCCCCGAGCAGGTCCTCCGTGATTGAGCCCAGTTTGGGCGCGCTCCTGCTGCGCTCCACCGGGGGTTTATAGTAACACTGTCCGTTTAGCAGCTTCCTTAAGGGCACCAATGGGATAGTTTGCTCCCCAATCAGCTGCTGCTGCTGGTGCCGGGCATCATCCCTTCTTTTGAGTCTCTTAAACTCGGCTAGGGCGGTCGCGGAGGTCTGGTAGAGGAGCAGCGCCATCGCCTTCGCCTTCTCCGGCTTGGAGACCAGCACTGCGTGGCAGCGCAGCATCACCGCCTTGTGCTTCATCTCGTGCCGGTAGATCCAAGCGAATATCTTGGGAAGCCGGGGGTCTGCCACGCAATAGGTGATTCTGTGCAACAAATACAGATGTCCCGGTCTCTTTGCCTTCTCGTCGACATGCACCATTCGGATGCCCTGCGAGCTGATGGTTAACTTCATCTTTGTGCCATTTTTGCCCATTTCGCTTTTGCCCCATATCTTGCTGACAGCCACATCCGTGCATCCGTCTCCTTTCGACTGGATGGTGGTCGCGTTCCCCAGGTACAAGACAGTATACGTAGGGTCCTCGCTGGTGATTTTCACCTTTTTCCTCTTGGATTTGAACATGCTGCCGACTCGGTTGAGCGCGCTTTCCGGGCAGGATTTGGCGAAGGAGGTGAGCGCGGAGTAGTTGAGGCTCACGGCATAGCCCTTCTGCTTGGACTGCTGCTTGTCTTCCTCGATCAGCTCGAATTTATTCTTCTTCCAAGGCAACATGCTGGTCGTCTTGAGATGCTATGTCTATTGTAGTGATTCTAATTCGACTAACTGCTACTCCAAAGCAGGCTTTAGTCATCTATCGGCTTGTTTTAGGGCATTTCCGAAGTTGCAGAGCGCTTCGTTGACTGGAGGAATATCGCGTGTGCTTCTACGATCGCAGCATCGCTGAATAACACACACACTGTACAGTCCAAGCGTGAAACACGGACTTATATAGCGGAATGAACCAACGAGGAAACGCGAAGGGGTCGAAAGAAGGAGGACGATACCAAGACGGATTTTTGCTGTCATTTCTGTAACAGGGCTGTCAAGAAGTAAACACGTGGCTTACGCGTTTAGTTTGTGCACAATCAGATGTTTTATTCAACTGTGTTAATTGTGTAAATATCTTGTTTTTCTCAGACCTTTTTTTTGTCTACATAAGCAATCATGACGTTATTATTATTATTTCATATACTATGGCCTAATAAAGTATTAGGCGCAGTGGGTAGCACGTTCGCCTTGCAGCAAGAAGGCCGCAGGTTCGAGCCTCGGCTGGGCCAGTTTGCATTTCTGCGTGGAGTTTGCATGTTCTCCCGTTGATCGCATGGGTTTCCTCCGGGTCAATGGGTGTGTATGGATGTTTCCTAGTGTTGGGTTGCAGCTGGAAGGGTGCAAAGCTGGATAAGTTGGCGATTCATTCAGCTGTGGCGACCCCAGATTAATAAAGGGACTAAGCCGAAAAGAAAATGATTGAATAATACTACTACTAATAATAATATACTGTAATACTTATTCATTCATTCATTCATTCATTTACTTTTCAGCTTAGTCCCTATATTAATTCGTCGTCGCCATAGCAGAATGAACCACCAACTTATCCAGCACGTTATTACACAGCGAATGCCCTTCCAGCCGCAACCCATCTCTGGGAAACGTCCACACACACACTCATTCACACACACATTCATACACTAAGGACAATTTAGCTAACCCAAATCACCTGTACCACATGTCTTTGGACTGTGGGGGAAACCGGAGCACCCAGAGGAAACCCACACGAACGCAGGGAGAACATGCAAACTCCACACAGAAATGCAAACTGACCCAGCAGAGGCTCGAATTAGCCTTATTCGAATTAGCCTTATTACAACAGCATGTTTTAGAAAATACACATTTAACAATAAAAACAATATATACAGTTTCAATCAGAATTATTACCCCCCTGTTTATTTTTCCCCCAATTTCTGTTTAACGAGGAGATTTTTTAAACACATTTTTAAACATAATAGTTTTAATAACTCATTTTAAATAACTGATTTATTTTATCTTTGCCATGATGACAGTAAATAATATTTGACTAGATATTTTTCAAGACACTTCTATACAGCTTAAAGTGACATTTAAAGGCTTAACTAGGTTAATTAGGTTAACTAAGCAGGTTAGAGTGGTTAGGCAAGTTATTGTATAATGATGATTTGTTCTGTAGACTATCGGAAAAATATACCTTATAGGGGCTAATCATTTTGACCTTAAAATTGTGTTTAAAAAATTAAAAACTGGTTTATTTTAAAGCCAAAATAAAACAAATAAGACTTTCTCCAGAAGAAAAAATATTATCAGACATACTGTGAAAATGTCCTTGCTCTGTTAAACATCATCTGTTAATAAATCAAAGATTTAATTCTGTTATTTCTGATAGCAATTGTACAATACTATTTACTATATTGTAATATAATTATTTCTACAGCATGTACAGCAATAATAATAATTGTTGTTATTGTTATGATTATGAATGTGTTATTATTAAATTTGGTGTTGGTGGTGGTGTTGCCTCTTTCCTAACATACAGAGATATGTATAAATCTGAAGAAAACCACTGAGCATATTTTCTACAACTGCATATACTCAAAGTTATTTTGGGCTCATAAACATGTCAGAATCTCTCATGTCAATATTCATGTAAACCCTTTTTGCATTAAAAAAGTTAGATTCAGTGTAACTAAAGAAAATTGTACACATCATTACCTGGTTAATAGCCTTATATGCTTTGCAAAATTCATTCATTTATTTTCTCTTCGGCTTAGTCCCTTTATTAATCTGGGGTCACCACAACGGAATGAACCGCCAACTTATCCAGCAAATGTTTTACGCAGAGGATGACCTTCCTGCCACAACCCAACACTGGGAAACACCCATACACTCCTGCATTTACATACACTAAGGACAATCAGACATCACTTAGTACTTTGTCAAATAATAAAGCTAGTAAAGTAGCTACTTTTTTCAGCGAATTTCACACCCTATAGCCCCTTCACAACCCTTTGAAGGTTTATATTGTATGAACTTTTATACTTTATTTATTTTATTTATTCACTTATTTTTTTAACGTCAAATACAATTGTCGTTATCATATGTTGCTTTTTTCCTATATTTGTGTCTGCTTATTGTTGTAATTTTATTACTTCATGCTTGTTTATGCATGTAAGGCCTACATTGTATAATTCTTTGAAAAAAAACTTGTATGTAACTGGACAGTTTGGGTGGATCTGAAACTTATTATGTATTGACATCTACTGGTATCATGCTAACATTGCAAGAGAACAGTATTTGGCTGCAAATCCGTAACCACGCAGTTGGTTTTTGACCGGTCCTATTTGAACGCGACACCACCGAACAAAACAAAAGTCTGGCCAAGATTTCAATTTTCGCCCAATTCTCAGTCTATTCTACTATTATTTAAATAAATATTCACTGTACTAAAACGACATGAACATAAAGAACACAATCAACAATTGTCATCTCTTCTAAACATTCGCGAAGGAGTGGTCCCTCTCGTAGATCATTCCGTGTCACTTCCTTCCTCTGCCATAACAAACATATCACACGCGTGAAGGTTTATCCACTCGAATGTCCACGAACAACTCACTGTCACGCGTTTATATCGCCGTTTAACCGTGTAAAGAAGTTTAAAATGGGGAAGAAGAAGACTCGTGGAGAGGGTTCAGGGTTGGGGAGAGCTTTAATAAAGGAGAGACTGAACGCAGGCCGCGGATACAGGAGAAACGACACATGGGTGAGAAACACTGACAGTCTGATGTGAAAATCGTTTTAATTAGGCTTTCAGCATTAGCATTAGTTTAGAGTGTTGTTTTTAATATACCTAATTTATAATGCAATGTGGATTGTTCTATATTGTAATAACAAAAGAGTACGATACGTATAATGTAAAGTGCAGTAGAGTTATGCGTGTTAAGGGATAGTTCAGCCCTAAAATGAAATGTTCTCACTGTTTAGCCACCCTCAAGTGAGTAAATAGTGAGAATAAAAGAAGATATTGTGAAGAAAGCTGGAAACCTGTAACCACTGACTTCTAACGTTATACAGTTTTTTTTCATGCTATGGATGGATGTCAATGATTACAGGCTTTCAACTTTATTCAGTTTATCTTGTTTTGTATTCAACAGAAGGTAGGAAACTTATAAAGGTTTAAAACAAGTAAATGATGACAAGTGCATATGGGCTACAAGATTTTATCTTATAATAAGATTAGTTATATTTTATAAAATATAATATTCTTCTTCAGACCGTATATTGGAGTTCTTGCACGCCAGAAGATTTTTTTTCAACACATGATGTCTAATATAATAAACAATACGATGTACAGTTGAAGTCAGAAATATTAGTCCCCCTAGAATTTTTTTCTTTTTAAAATATTTCCCAAGTGATGTTAACAGAGCAAGGACATTTTCACAGTATGTATGATAATATTTTTTCTTCTGGAGAAAGTATTATTTGTTTTATTTTGGCTACAATAAAAACAGTTTTTATTTTCTTAAACACCATTTTAAGGAAAAAATATTAAGCCCCTTTAAGCTCTATTTTTTTTTCGATCTACAGAACAAATCACTGTTATACAATAACTTGACTAATTACCATAACCTGCCAAATAACCCAATTAACCTAGTTAAGCTTTTTAATGTCACTTTAAGCTGTATTATTTACTGTCATCATGGCAAAGATAAAATAAATCAGTTTCTAGAAATGAGTTATTAAAACTATTATGTTTCAAAATATATATTTAAAAAAAATCTTCTCTCCGGTTAACAGAAATTGGGGGAAAAAATCAACAGGGGGGCTAATAATTCTGATTTCAACTGTATATTAATTGTGTCGTGTGTTTAGCTTCACACCAGCGAGCTGAATGATGGATATGATTGGGGTCGGCTCAACCTGCAGTCTGTCACTGAGCAGAGCTCCCTGGACGACTTTCTGGCCACAGCCGAACTTGCTGGAACTGAATTTGTTGCAGGTAGGTGTTGATTTGTTTCAAATCTATTAACTCAATATATTATATTTAAATGAATTTATTAAAATATACATTAATGTGTTTAAATTAGGGCTGCACAATATTGAAAAATTCTAACATTGCAGTATTTTTTTTTATTTTGAGATATATAGAGATATCAATACAATCCCACCAGATGACTTCATATCTCTATTTGGAAAGAATTTATAATGTTAGATCGATTGCATCTCCATAAAATATAATAAACAATATATTACATTTTTAGGGGTCCCCCCCCAACAGATCTTAGTAATGTGTGTGTGTGTGTGTGTGTGTGTGTGTGTGTGTCTATTGACACAAAAAAATCGCAAAAAAAAAAAAAAAGAAAGTGGTTTATTAAAAATAATAAAGAAATATGGTTTAATTTAAGCTGTGGTGATTTAAGTACTGAGTAATTAAAATTAATTGAAAATTGACCATATGGGTTAGCATTTATTTATGCATAATTTACTGTATTATTGTAGTAAGTACATGTAATATGTAACAAGGACACAAAACTATAGCACTGTCAGCTATAGAACAATATATAAAGATATGTCATTGTTTTGCAGAGAAGCTCAATATAAAGTTTGTCCCAGCTGAAGCAAGAGCTGGCTTGCTTTCCTCTGAGGAGTCCAGGCGGCTAAAGAAACTCCATGAGGAAAACAAACAGCTTCTGCGAATCCCCCGAAGGTATTCTGATGTCTTATAATATGCATTTTTTCCTTACCTATATTAAAGTTTATCATGGATGCAAAACAATGCAAAAGCAGATGTTTTCAACATTGTGCTTTGTCTCCTCAGACCTCCTTGGGATGAGAGCACAAGTCCTGAAGTTCTACAGCAAACTGAGAAAGACAGTT